GTCTCGAACTCCTGACCTCAGGTGATCTGCCCACCTCAGCCTCCCAAAGTGCTGGGATTACAGGTGTGAGCCACCATGCCCGGCCTAGGCTAAGTATTTAATGACTTCCCTGCTAGCTCTGCTGACATAGGCATCTCTTCTTCCTCTGGCCCTCAGTTTGCCCAGTCTTGGAAGTGAGAAGGCCCATCTTGCTTCCTGGCTTCACAATTTCTCTCCACTCAGCTCATGGGGCAATATGAAGGCATGTGGCTCCAGACATGTATTTCTCAGCCTGAGTGCATGTGGGCTTTTTGGTGTCTGCTGGGTGATTGGCAGACATCTGCAGACTCAGAAGCTTTATGAATGGTTAGTAGCCAAGCAAACCTCTATCCCTGCAGAGGTGCTCTGTCCCAAGAGCCCTGTGGTAGAACTCAGCCACCTCCTCCAGTGTGACTTGGGACAAGTACTTTCCCTCTGGGTCCCCCTTCCAACCTGTTCATGAGAGTGAACTACACCATTTATGATTCCCTGATTCAGATGCAAGTTCACCTAGCTTGCTTTGGCACCTAGTTTTATTTTACCTCAAAAAACCCCAAGGATCAAGTTTGACCTGAGAATAGTGAGGACAAGTGTGGTTCTGGTCACTGGCCCAGAGGAGAAGCCTGCACACCCCCCTTCCTGTTCCTGGGTGGCAGTGGGGAGGGCATGTGGAGTTGAGCCTGTCCCCAGGGCTGTGGGCCCACTTGTTGGGCAGTCGTGTCCCTTGGCAATGCCTTTGCAGCAGGCTCCGAGCACGTGCTGGGAAGCTATGGGAGTTGACCACGCAGCGCCCCACAGAGAGCCTCCGAAAGGCACAGCACCCTCTGCCAGCTGCGTGGCCTTTCAGCTCAGGTTTCCTTTGAAAATGACTTGAAAGGACTTGCCAGCTCGAGGCCTCAACTCACCCTGCTCTTTGAAAAGGGAGAAAATGATCCCTCTGCTCCCATAGAAACTTGGCAGAAGAACTTACAAAACAGACAGCTTCAGGAATGACAATTCACAGGCCTAAGGGAAGCTGGCCCCACGGTCCCTTTGCTCCCAGAGTACCTCCAAGTTTGTTTGCATTTCATTACTGTTTAATAGAGAGATGGAGGGGCGAGGGCAGATAGCGTGGGTGGCCATTTAAACAAAAGGGAAGATCAAAGAGTGAGTGACTGGAGCCAATTGACAATCAATAATAACTAAAAAGAAAAGTCTCTGAGCAGATAAGCCAGGGCAAAGGGAATATAAAATGTTTACTAAAAAGCGTGATGTAAATGCAACTTTTCACCAATACATGGAATATGCGTGATGTTCTACATTGTGGGATTTTTAGAGGATAGGTTTCTGAGGACCAGGGTGATGAGGATGTGTAAGGCGTAATCCCAGAGAAGCAGGGTGGTTAGAACTATGCAGAGCTATTTAGGAGTTGGAAGGAATGGGGTGGTCCTATCACCTGGCTCGGATCTTGCATCTGACCCATGAAAAGATTGAGGCAGGAGGCGTGAAGGCACTTTCCTATTGCCACCCAGAGCCTGGGGTGGGGAGTGGAGAACAGGCTCCTGCTCCTTACACAACCCTAAGGGAAGGACAACCAGAGGCCAATGTTCCATTTTACTTTTTAATATTTATTTATTTATTATTATTTTATTTTTCTTAGAGATGGAGTCTTGCTCTGTCACCCAGGCTGGGGGGCAATGGCATGATCATAGCTCACTTGAACTCCTGAGCTCAAGCAATCCTCCTGCCTCAGCCTCCAGAGTAGCTGGGACTACAGGGGCACGCCACCATGCCTGGTTACACGTGTTCTGTTTTAAATATGGGGAAATGGAGGCAGGAACTAGTCCGAGGTCACACAGCTGAAAGTGTCCAGGTAGGCTGAGTTCACATGATGGTTGTCAGTAGAACTTTAATTGGTTCAATTCAATCGTTAGGCTTCAGGCTTCTTGCAGAAATGAGCTATTCCCTTTGGAATCTGGGTTTCTATTTTCTCTCTCTGTCTCACTCATAGTAATAATTAATAATAAGTTTGGTCGCAGGGGCTTACCCCTGTAATCCCAGCACTTTGGAAGGCCAAGGCAGGCAGATCACTCGAGGTCAGAAGTCCGAGACCAGCGTGGCCAACATGGTGAAACTCCGTCTCTACTAAGAATACAACAATTAGCCAGGCGTGGTAGTGCAAGCCTGTAATCCCAGCTACTAGGGAGGCTGAGGCAGGAGAATAGCTTGAACCCAGGGGGTGGAGTTTGCAATGAGCCAAGATTGTGCCACTGCACCCCAGTCTGGGCGACAGAGTGAGACGCTGTCTCAAAAAAATTTAATAAAAATAATAAGCTGTCTTGTGTTCTACCAGAGACATGCATTGGTAAGCACTAAGAGAATTAGAATGAGGAAGAGAAGCAGAGAAAAGCTGAACCTTGAAGAGTACTTGGGGCCTCATTAACGGCAGAGTTCTAGAACTAGGATGACCTTTCAGAATCTAGTTTTATGAAGCTTATAATTGTGTGGGGGTTTCTAGTCTTAGATTTCTAGGATAATCCATCCCTCTTATAACCACTTTATAGTGGGGTCACTGCCTCCATTTCTACACCACTGCCATTCCTTGGACTGGCCTGTATGAGCCTATTTCCTGGAACCAAAAGAGCATAATTTACACACAGATAGCCACGCTTCTGGGGTGTTTGTCATTAGAAGGACCCTTACACTTCTTTGACTAGGCCCAAGCTTCTCTATAGCGGAGGCCAAGGCATGCTGTAATCCCTCCAAGGTAGGAAACAAGATGTCATTTGCCCAAAATACTGTACCCAGTTGGAAAGGCAATGTTCCTCCCCCGCCCAGAGCAGAGACAGGAGGCTTCCAAAGGGTACACAGAAGCCCAGCCCTGCCGTGGGCATGCTCCCCATCACATGACCTACAGCATCCAGAGCCTGCCTCCAGAGAGGAGAACGCTTCAGCATTCACTAAGAAAGTGGCCTTCTCTCGTTCTCTATGACTCATGGGAGAAAAAAAGAAAAAAATAATAACATTAAAAAGTGGCCTTCCAGAAAGACAGATGCCCAGGCAGGAGGACTTTGGAGTCTAGGAAAGGGACCTAGTGGGGTTTACAGCTCCTGAGTACTATATTGCTCCCAAACCTTTGGGGTCTAGCCCCTTATTAAATGAGGCTGATTCATTTAACCCCAGATGACAGCTGCTCAACATATCTAAGAGATGAGTTTCCTGGGTCTTTCTTTCCTTTTAGGACCCCAAGAAGGCAGGCTGGGTATGTAAATACATATGGAGTTGGGATCACAGAATATTGTAACTGGAGAGAGCTCAGTGATAGTAATTTCTTCCATAGGGAAGGACCAGGCCTGAAAGGAAAGGTGACATGCTTGAGGTCACACCAAGAATTCTTATCAAACATCACCTGACTCCCAGTGAGGTTTGTAATGTGGTTCCAGCCCTTAAAGGGTTTGTAGTCAAAATCACAAAACAAACCATGGACATATATGGAAGGAAAATTACAAGGAAACGCCAAAATATATAAAACTATGGCGAATAAATGATGGTCCTCAGTGAGAACATATGGGCACAGGGAGGGGAACATCAAACTCCGGGGCCTGTCGGGGAGCTGGGGTCTAGGGGAGGGATAGCATTAGGAGAAATACTTAATGTAGATGACGGGTTGATGGGTGCAGCAAACCACCACAGCACAAGTATACCCATATAACAAACCTGCACATTCTGCATATGTATCCCAGAACTCAAAGTATAATTTAAAAAAATGATGTTCCTATGGATTCAGCATATCTTGAGAAGGGGCATGTTCAGAATGGCAAATTGTTCTTTCAGGGCAGTACAAGGTGGACAGCCTTGTTGAGCTGCTGGCCCATGGAGAGGCACTCTCAGGGTTTTCACGTGTCTCCCACTTGTTCTGTGGAACTTCAGTGCCTCCTTCCATCTGGACAGAGCTGTCCTTCGATGTCACCAGTAGGAGTCACCTCTAGAGGTGTATTAGTTTGCCAAGGCTGCTGAAACAAAGCACCACAAACTGAAATGGCTTAAACAATAGAATGTTATTCCCTCATGGTTCTGAAGGTTGGAAGTCCGAGATCAAGGTGTTGCCACTGTTGGTTTCTTTTGAGGGCTGTAAGGAAGAATTTGTTCCAGAGAAGAATCTGTTCCAGACTTCTCTCCTAGCTTCTGGTCATTTCCTGGCAATCTAGCACTCTTGGCTCGTAGAAGTATCACCTCAATCTTTTCATCTTCACATGGTGTTTCTGTGTTTGTGTCTCTGTATCCAAAGTTCTTCCCTTTTTATGAGGTCATCACTTGAGTTAGATTAAGGCCCACTCTAATGACCTCAACTTAACTAATTATATGTGCAATGACCCTGTTTCCAAATAAGGTCACATTCTAAGGTACTAGAAGTTAGGACTTCAACATATGAATTTTGTGGGGACATGATACAACTCAACAGAGGCTGTTTATGGGAAGAAAGATGAGGAAAAAGGCTCTCAGAAAAGGTACCACCCCAGCTTCTTGTTTGCACTTTCTTCTAGCTGTCAAAGACTCAGGGAGTTGAGATTTGGAAAGCCTTCTCATTGCCAGCAGGCTTTACACTCACGGTCTCAATTACCCTCATGACAACTCACTGAAGTGGGTTTCTCTTATCTCTTACAGATGAGGTGAATGGGGAACAAGAAGGTCATGGCACTTGGCTAAGATCAGGCAATACGTCTCCTCTTCTTTCTTTAGTTAGTTTTGTCTTTTATGTCACTGGTGGGTCTCTGTCCAAAAGAGCACGACAGAACAAAATAATTGTGCTCCGTGAACCACACTTTGATCGTGCAGATGGGAGAAAACTCTAGATCCAGGTAGGTCTTTATGAAATAGGAATCACCAAGAACTTACATACCAGACCATCATGGGCTTGATAAAAACCCCTTAACAAGAACTGAAGACTTTAACATTATTATAGTTAATCATGTCTTAAATAATCATGGAATATTTGAGCTTACCCCACTAATGGTCTCATCCAGCAGTTCTGGACCATAGGGAGCTTTCAGACCTTCTGCTGCCTGCTCTGCAGGTGATTCTGACTTAGAACGAGGAGTGAGAATTCTGATCAAATCCAACTCTACCATAAAGGAAAGGAAGCCAAGTGACATTAAGCAAAGAAATTCTATGAGGACTAGGGCACAGCTCCCCCAAAGCCTATGTCAGTATTAGTTCCTCGGAAATAATACTACCATGATTTCCTATTTCCAGAAACCTTAGTGCTGCCACTAAATGGTTGCCTTCTTCATATACATTCATATGTCTGATTACTTCTTTGGCACAACCCTGGAGGAGGGAACCTTGTATCAATGAACAGGAATTATAAACAGGAAGAACTCAGCCTGATAGAATAAAGGATGTCCTGCTATCTAAAGGTGGAACGGGCTTTGAATGAGCATCCGAACTCATCACTGAAGGCGATTTAAGTTCAAGATGCGTGGTGAGTTGTCAGCAATCTTGGCTTACAGGGAGGGCTGGATTAAATGACTCTAAGGTCCCTTTCAAACTTGAGACTATACAAGATCCTATCCCATTTAGAAACTGATTTTGATCATGGCGAGGGATTCAGATTGTGTGTTTCCTCCTAGGAGTCTCAGGACGGAAGGGCCATGGAAGTCTGGGGGCCATTTGCGGAGGAGTGGATGGTTCCTGTAACCTGAACTGACCTGCACTCCAGGGACCAAGTTGTGTCTGTCTTTGTTTTTTTGTTGGTTTGTGTGTTCTTTTTTTCCTAACGTACAGGCTTACAGTTTCATACATATCATTTTCTGATAGTGAGGCTATAACCTCATATCCCATCATTTCTACCTGGTGCACCCTATTCTTCAGTCACATGGAGAAGCTCACCATTTCCCAAACCTGGGAGGCTTCAGTGTCTTTGCAAACACCAAGACCCCTGCCTAGCAAGTCTCTTTGCTCCATTTACCCTCCCTTCAGTCCCTCTCTTCTTCCAGACTGTGAATTTCTTCAGCCTGAGCAACTGTGAGCATCTGTACAAGTTTGTCGAGTGACGAAGTAAAGGAGTGAGTGCCTGATTACCGGTTCCTGTTGGTCCCTGCTTTCTCTGAGGCTGTTCTACTGGTGCAGTCTAGCAAATAGCCACAAGGTGGCAGGGTAGACTAAGTCGTGAAGGCTGCAGGTGCCACTTTTTCTGGCTCCAGGGAAGTAGGAAGGTATAAATGGGACCAGTGCTATTTTTTGAGTTGATTTCCTATGCCTTTGTACCTATTCTCTTTCTAAATCCTTTTCGTCATCTCAGCAGAGCCATTCAACAGAATTGACTGGGGGGCTCTGGCCCCCAAATCTTTCTTTCGGAGATCTACTTAAATGTGTGTAAAATTCCACTCTGAATCATTCCTTTGGGGATCAAGAATTTCCAGTTCTTCTTGAAAATGTAAGGGGTTATATCTCAATTCTTGGGCAAAAGAGGTCAATTCCTAGTATAACTGTGGAGAGAGGCAGGGGTTTATGATATGACACTAATCTAGTGTCTAGTATAACAAAATTTTACAAATCACAAAAGCCTTTCATCTCCAAGGGTTCACTTAATCCTCACCACAGTCTCGCCGGTTAAGGAAGCAAGATCTCCCATTTGGCAGATGACAAAACTGAGGTTCGGAGAGGAGGGCCTAAGAACATCTGGCTAGTGGGTGAGGGCTGGGAACAGACCACTTGCCTTCTGACTTGCTGTCAGACACTCAGCTAGTACAGGCAGTAACTTTGTGTGTCAGTGGGTGAATTAACAAAAAGGTACCCCTATCTTTGTGAGGCAGGAGAATAGGGTCTGGAGACAGAGAACCTAAGGCCAATTTGCACTGGTTTCCTAGAACTGAATGAAAAGGAAAATCCTGGACCGGGCGCGGTGGCTCAAGCCTGTAATCCTAGCACTTTGGGAGCCCGAGACGGGCGGATCACGAGGTCAGGAGATCGAGACCATCCTGGCTAATACGGTGAAACACCGTCTCTACTAAAAAAAATACAAAACACTAGCCAGGCGAGGTGGCGGGCGCCTGTAGTCCCAGCTACTCGGGAGGCTGGGGCAGGAGAATGGCGTGAACCTGGGAGGCTGAGCTTGCAGGGAGCTGAGATCGCGCCACTGCACTCCAGCCTGGGCCACAGAGACTCCATCTCAAAAAAAAAAAAAAAAAAGGGAACCCCCCCCCCCACCTCTTCACACCCAAGTAACAAAAGGATCAGAGGCTACTCCCTTTGCAACCTGCTCCCCCAACCCCTCCTGCTTTTCTGCCTTGCAGATTAAAAATGAAAGTACGTCTGATTGGTCCCCTCCTGCAACCAATCAGACTGATTGTAGGCCTACTCTTCACTTGCATAGGAGTGTAACTTTGTAACTTCACTTCAGCCTCCGATTGGTCACCTCCCATGACCAATCAGATTGATTGTAAGCCACTACTTCATTTACATAGGGTGTGAATCAAGTAACCAATGGGAAGCCTCTAGAGGGGTATTTAAAGCCCAGAAAATTCTGTAACCAGCGTTCCTGAGGTGCTTGCTCAAGCTTACTGCTGCTTTGTGGAGTGTACTTTCGTTTCAGTAAATCTATGCTCTCTTTGCTTTATTCTTTCATAACTTTGTATGTTTTGTCCATTTCTTTGTTCAAAATGCCAAGAACCTGGACACCCTCCTCTGGTAACGTTTGTCTATCCCTGAGCACAGCTTTTTCAACTCACAACAGTGTAAGAAGAAAATTTAGGCTTTTAGGGTTGGTATTCTCTTAGGGTCGAAATTGTAAATTCTGGGCGTGGACAGAGAGGAAGCCACCGGGACATGCCATGGCGCTCACCACCTGCATCACAGTGTAGGCCGGTGTCCCTGGACGGCTGGTGCCTAGGCTGTGGGCTGGGTGCATCTCAATCCCCTCCCGGTTCCCCTTCAGTACTGAGGGCCTGAGGAGGTGCCCCTTAAGCATTGTTCTCCTGATGACACTCAGTGACTCTGGGTAGTTGTGGGTGGGAGACAGCATCAAATCTCTGCTGTCCTAGGCCCTGCCACAGTGAGACCCAGAGCAAACAGCTTTCGCCTTGATTGAAGACCAGGCTCTGCTTTTGATCAGCTACCGTCCCTGGGCCTCAGCTTCTGACTGCAAATGCGAAGACAATATGGGATAATCTTCAAGACCCCTTTTGGAAACAGTGACAAGGACTTTTCTGGTCAAAGTAACTGAGTGATGGAGGTAGGCGATTGGTCTCACTAGGGGCGTTCTGGGAATATAAACCATTCGTTGAGGCCACAGAGTTCTAGTTGCTGGGGGCCAGCCCATTCTCATCTATTGTTCCCAAGTTTTCCTGCATCCACGAGACCAACACGCATGGATTCGGGACTTAGGGTTTTCTTATTCATACCTCCCGATATTCTCACAATTCAAAAGGAGCGAACAAAATGACACTAGTTATCAGAAATTCTAATTCATTTTTCAACTCACAAAGGGCTCAAAGTTCCTCTACGTGTAACAATATGGAACTTGGCTGAGATACACTTTGTCTTTTTAAAAATAGTATCTATTGTTCTGAATTTAATTTCAAAATTAGTATGTGTTAAATATAGATAAAAACTTGAAAAACAGCTATGACAAAAAGTAGTAACATTTATTAGACCTTCACCATATGCCAGGAGCATTTAGAAGTTTTTTAAATTTTTAAATAGCTATGGATTCACAAAAAGTTACAAAAAATAGTGTCGAGAAGTCCTGTGTACCCTTCTCCAAGTTTCCCTCAATGGTAAGGTCTTACCTAACGATAGCACAATATCCAAACCAGGAAGTTGACACAGTGGGTATAATCCACAGACCACCTTCAGACTTAACTCGTTTTTACGTGCACTCGTGTGTATGTGTGTGTGCGTATGTGTGCGTGTGTGTTTCTATGCAATTTTGTTGGATTTGTAGATTCACGTAGGCACCACCCCAATCAAGATATACAACGGTACTATCACACCGAAGACAATTTGTGCTACCTTTTTATCGTCATCCTGTTTCCCTCCCTTCATCTCTAACCTCTGGCAACCTCTGATCTGTTCTCTACCTCTATAACTTTGTTTTTTTGAGAATGTTCTATAAATGGAATGTATAATGTAAGTAGAAAAATAATATTAAATAACATTTATCAAGCACTCACTATGTGCCAAGAACTGTTTTTGGTTCTGTGCAAGTATGAGCTTATTTGATCCTCTCCGGAACTTTAATATATATATAAAAATATAAATATTATAAAATAATTATATTTTATACATATAAAATATTTATATTTATTTTAAAAATAAAAATAGTCTGTTTTATTTTTCTTACTTTACCGATGTGGAGACTGAGATCATCACCCAATTTTATGCAGCCAGTCATTGGCAGAGCTGAGAGGAAAATCTAGATCTGGCTCTAGAGTCTGAGGTTGTAATTAACATATTATCTCTCTAAATTGATTCAGCATAAACGTTTAAAAATTAAATACAGAAAATCATAATTAAGAAAGATCAACAGTTGCCTTAGAAAACTTCAATGTATTGGTGCCATACAGACCACATTCTCTGAGAACAGTGCCGTTAAGTTAGAAATCAACAATAAAAAGGGAACTGGGAAAAATTCCACTTGTTTATACATTTTTTAAAAAATTCCCTCGAAACAACTCATGAGTCAGACAAGGAAAGCTGAGAGTTTCCTTCTAACAGAAGAGCAGTGGGTTCCCTAAAGGCATAGTGCACGGTGCAGGTGTCGATTGCTTCAAGGCTGAAAAAAAAATAAAGGTAATACTATCTCTGCCCCAGACTGAATCCATGAGGGCAGGGACCATGTTTCAGTCATACCAGTAGCCTCAGAGCCTCACCTGACAAGGTGTTAATAGATGCTTACCGAATGCATTTAAAAATAGACTCCCCTGGACACTGCCTATATTCCTTGGATCCTAAAGTGCAGGCCAAGCTGGAAGACTCTTTGAGCCATTGGAAGCAAAAGCACACCAAAACCAGGATAGAGATGCACAGAAACAGCAAAAGGGGTGGCTACGCGTATTAGGAGCAGTGAGCGCACTTTGCTTCACATGGTGCTTTTAGACATCCAAAATCGAAGCAGAGAAT